AAACCGGTCCTACAATTAAAATTAACTAGTGGTGATTGGACAAAAGTTTTTTATTCATTTCATCAGAGTTTTATTAGGTAGTTTCAAAAGATATTTCCGTTTTTATGAATATACCTTGAACTGTACTGTACTGGACACCTTCTCATGATCGCCAATTAAGAATTTTCATGCGTTAAAAATATTTCACACAAAAAAAAGTTCAATACTCATAATTTTAGAGAACTATTTGTTTTAAATGACTCTAAAGAAAAAACTTTTTCAAAACTACATATTTTTCGAGGACATTTTGTTTTTAATGAATCTAATTCAGGATGCAACACCTCTTTCGAAGTTCAGCATAAAAATTTGATGCTCGTGGTTTCCTCGGGATTCGATGAAGTCAACGAAGGCCGGTTTTGTCTTGAAAAGATGGTAGTCAGTTGGCGAGAGGTCTGGGGAGTATGGTGGGCGAGGTAAAACTTCGACTTCTGTGATGGTTACGCCGGTTGCACAAAGTTATTGTGAATCACACCAGGCGATGACCATCATGCAGTGNGATGCACAATAAAAATTGAAAGTCTATACGTTTTGAAAAAATCGGATTCTTTGATCTTCCAAAAGTAGGTTATTTTGTTCTTCAGAACATATGAGTAGAACCAAGTGAAGTATTGAATTTTTCACCTACCAAAGACAGATCACTTCAATGGAAAATACCAAAGAGAACAAGTTCTTAGCAACATGCATTTCTCGAAACTATAGATTGTAGAGGATCGTAAATCTCCCCAGCCTATTAATATTGCAAGTTATAAGGGCATTTTCGATATTTATTTCATTTCAGCTACAATTTGTGCAGAGACAATCTCGTCGAAGTAAATAAAATGGAAGACTCAGGATTTTTCATTATCAAATTTAATGGAATTGCAGAAGACTTAGGATTCATCATTAACAGTTTTCTTCATCATAACTTGTACAAACTCCTCATCAAAAAAAATCATTTCATTAGTTCAGACTTCCATTGTGTAATATGATATGAATTGATTTGAAATTCCTGAAAAAATCTATAAACAATTAAAAAGATTAACTGAAAAAGAACAATTATATGAAGCAAAAAAGAACGGAAATTACAATAAAATAGAATACAGGCAACAATAAAAAAATATAAAAAAATTCAACTATCAACACGAGATGAAAATTAAAAATTATTAACAAGAAATGTTAACATGTTAACTAACAATCGAAACGTCGTTACTTCACGACGTTTCGATTGTTGGTATCCACAATCATCTTCGGCTGATAACTGGACTTATTCCTCCGATATCTGAATAATTTGAGATAAACAATCATACGGTACTTTATCTGCATGTAACTCCAAGTGGGTATAACCTATATTGGAATGAACTATCGATATCTTGGATATCAGTAGTTTTATTTACGAAACATATTAATTATGACAAACGATCACTCAGTATTACTGATAAACGAAACTATTATCATGCCACACCTCAGACGTATCTCAATTTCGATCAATCAATGTCTCGATTTAAGAAAACAATGGATTGATATTTAGCAAAACAGGTCTTATATATTGCAACTATTAAATAATTCATGGAGTATTTCACGCAGCTATATAGGATTCGGTATACGCCAGGTATTACTAAAGACTCTCTGGGGTCTTTTTTTGTGAGGACAAAACACAAACAGTACAGGAACATCCCCAAGGCGCTCTAAAAGTGGTGCCTGTGCGAAACTAGTGATTCACACTGGATTTGAATCGCTGGAGATTAAATTCATTTGGAAAAACGTTCTCAGGAAGTTTATTCCACATCAACGCAGTTCTCCAAATAAAAGAGTTCGGGGTGTACTCAGTTGAACCTCAAAAACGAGCAGCCACAGTCCTTCGCGTATTATTAATATGTACCGCACTTGATGGAATCAAATGTGCCAAGTGGACTGCAAAGGAAGAACCGGCTCCAAAAAAAGCAAAAAGGACAAACCATTACAGGAGCATACTACGCATCATCATTTGACAAGCTGAAGGCAGAACTTGCGGAAAAACCGCCACATTTGCAGAAAAAAATGTCTATTTCGCCATGGCGAAAATCTCCGAATTACGATTTGAACTGCTTGATCATCCGCCTTACTTACCAAATCTAGCCTCAAGCGACTTTTTTGTTCCCTCATCTGAAAATTGCGNTGAGAAGCGCTTACTGCGCAACCTCTGCTGCAGGCAACCAGTGATGCAATTGAACCCAGGTTTGTGTTTAATAAACCCTACAAAATACAAATAAAACAGAACACTAAGTCAAATATTACAAATGCAATACGCATATATACAGACGGCTCAAAAACCAAAGAAGGCTCAGGATGTGAAGTGTACTCCGAAACACAAGCCTAAGGATTAAGTGGGGAATGGAAAAAAATACCAGCGTGGTTCAAACATAACTTGTTGGTATCTCAATTGCCACAAAAACAATAACAATCTGCACTGATAGCAGACAAGCACTGTTAGCCTTGAACAGGCTAATAGTGCTTGTGCACCTCAGTGCACCTCAGGGTTGGTAATAGAGTGCCACCAAGATTTAGCCAAAGCCTCGGTAGATAATAACATTATTTCTGAGGTGGATCAAAGGGCACGACAGGGGTTAAGGTAATCGTATTGCCGACTCTTTTGCCAAGGAAGCGGCAAGAATTTTAGGACCCAGTGGCACATACGGCCTGATGACTTCGACAATTGCGGAGCTAGCCGAATGTTACACCCATGCTCAATCCCTAAAGAGATGGAATGGAATCAAAGGATGCAATCTTGCCAGGATAACCCTGGGCGACCCTGGGAAGCTGTCGCCGAAGAAATATCTGGCGATGATCAGAAAAAGTCTACGCTTAACAGTAAGATTTTTGACTGGCCACTGTCAACTAGGAAAACACTTCCATAATATGGGGCTAGTGGACACATCTCTATGTAGGATGTGTGAACAGGAAGATGAAACTGTCAGGCATATCCTATGCGAGTGCCCGGAGTTATCGTCAATAAGACACTCTGTATTCGGCGAGTCTTGGCCTACACCTGTGACTTGTCCACCTTCCTGGAAAAGATAGGATGGACGATGACCTAGGAGGACAACTCCTCGGGAGGATGTACAATGGATCACATGTGGCCTAAGTGATGTGGGCCTACACTCACCCTCCCTACTCTACAGATACAGATCCTATTGGAAATCCGTAAGAATTTTTATCAAGTCCTTGGCAAAACCAACCAAGTGTTTGAACAAGAATATTGAAAAAAACTTCCCCGAAACACAATGAAAAAACCTTACGGCAATGTGCGTACAAAATTCCAAAGATCTTGGCGACACTACCTGTTTCCACATGTACCCTTGAAAGGACTTTTTCTTCTCTGAAACGCCTCAAAACTTATTTAAAAAACTCCACAAGCCAGGAACTACATCGACGCCGAGGAAGTAATTGATTTGTTTGCTGCAAAGAAAGCTAGAAAACTTAATATGATTTTGTAAAAAGATGTTAATATTTCTGTAATGGTTTCCTAATGAATATATATTTTCATGTAACACAATTTTCTCTCTTTCGTTATTTTTATATTTCATGTTTTTCTACTGTTCCACCAAACCAAACCCCCCCCTCCCCCGAAATTGTTTTCTGGCTACGGCCTTGGCCTGAACCACTGTGCATGCTGTTTTTTTGGCGAGTGCATTGGCTTGGGATGTGGGGGTTGAACAAACCGGCCATCGGATGTCTGCTTCCACGTAGCCCCGCTGGATACGGGAATGACAGAATCACTTGTGGTTCACTTGTGGGAATGACAGAATCACTTTTAGTTCTGTTATTCTCTAACTGCATAGCATCCCAACGATGGCTTAATCCTAAGGTGTGTATATCCGTGCCGAGAGGATGAATGACACTGAGCCTATCTGCTGTCTCTACGGAACCTTCGAGATACCGGGCGCCCTCTCGTCGTAGCATCGCCTTGTCACGGTAATGCGGGGCTCTGCCGTGATTGACCTTCTTTCCATAGCTACTCGTGGATCATTTAGGAACAGAGTGAACTTAAAAATTATTTCTGACGCTGAGTCTACAGAGGAGATGGATGTAGAGCTTACGACTCCAACTGATCTCCCTGTAAATTTAGATCAGAAGCGAGAGCTTCTCAATTCTCCAATTCCTGATCCAACAAGTGAACCTTAAAAAAAGGTTTGGTGGTTCAGCCAGGAAATGACTGAGTCGTCTCTTCAAGAGCGGGGTACCTTATGAAACCGCCTTGCACCGAATTCTTGAGCGGCGTACGCAAAATCTGTCTCAGATAGAGGAACAAACCTCCCATGAGCAGGTTAGTAAACGTTTGCGTTTAAGTGATGATTCACCAAAACCAGAGGCGAAAAATCCCTGCACGGTTGAATCTAAGGCATCGTCAGGTGTAGCTGACGTGCAAAAACCCTCATATGGAAAGGTTGTCACGGGTTCTTGCACCTTGACTATCCGACTACCCCACTAACGATGAAACAGCATATACTTTGCGCCTGCCCCGCTGGGGAGCGAATCAGGTTTTTAGAGTTCGGCAGAGCCGTACTCTTACCATCTGACCTGAAAGACCACCCACCATACAAACTAATTGGCTTCTGGGTTTAATTGGTCGAGTGTGAATAGGTGTGAGCCACAATAAACCTTTGCGAGTTGCGGTGGAGGGTCGAATAGACCCACTCAATTTGGACCTAACCTAACCTAACCATTTGGACGAGTTACAGAGATGAAAGCATCGCTGCGAGAGGTGTTTAGAGTTAAAAGGAGACTATGATGAAAAATTAAGGAAATCTGAAAAAATGTCATGCATCTTCGTTAGGTCAGAAACTTTTCTGGCGTCCCTCGTACTTCAGGCTCATTGACACCGAGTTTTTGAGTGCCTCGTCGACTGTTTCGTCGGAATCATTGGCTGGTATTCAGAATCTTTTTCTAAATTTAGGTTTATTTTACCACCTTTATATTTTTTATATTTCGATTTATCATTTCAGAAAACAATTCTGTCGAGTATCACGAGTGAAGATCCAACTTTTACCGGAAATGCATACTACAGTTTAGCCATTATCTACGTAGTTTTTTCCATATTCAACTGGGCCGCTCCATCTGTGATAAGTGTCATAGGACCGAAATTTTCTATGGTTTTGGGGGGATGTGCTTACCTGTAAGTATCCATTGTATTGTCTATCTCCTTAAGTAGCGAAATAATGAATAATTTTCAAGTTGTTGTTCCATAGGCGTACATAATTGAGTCGGTCGAAAAGTGAAAAATGTAGTATTTTTTTTAAACATTCAATGTTGTATAATTTGAAATAACAAATCTCAAAATTTGTATCATAGTTGTATTTATACAGTGAGTAACATAAATATGGACACTCGCATTAATATTTGTAATGCACTGTTTGGAATCTTTGGTGTAGTAATGAATATTACTGGAGTTTTATCTCAACACTATACCGTTATTTTTATCACCTCTACACGTGTTTCATTCACCAAGTGATAATGTTCAAGAGGAAGATTGAACTGTTCAATTTTCCATTTTCGAAGAAGATGAATAAACTGTTTAAATATTTCTCTTGAAGATGATCACATGCTGATTGAACTGTTTAATCTTCCACTTGAAGTTTAATCTTCAATCTACAAGTGATAATCTTTAAGAGGAAGATTAAACTGTTTAATCTTCAATCATCAAGAAAGAAGATTGAACTGTTTAATCTTTCATCTTCAAGAGGAAGAATAAACTGTTTAAGATGATCACATGGTGATTGGAGATTGAACTGTTTAATCTTCCTCTTGAAGATGATCACATGGTGATTGAAGATTAAACTGTTTATTCTTCCTCTTGAAGTTTAATCTGCAATCACCAAGTAATAATATTAAAGAGTAAGATCTTCGTCTTGAATTCCATCACCAAGTGATCATCTTCAAGAGAAAGAATGAAATGTTTGATCTTCAATCATCAAGGAAACTGTGTAATCTTCCATCTTCAAGAGGGATAATAAAATGTTTAATCTTTCTCTTGAAGTTAAATCTTCAATAACCGAGTGATCATCTGCAGGAGAAAGAATAAACAATTTAATCTTCCATCTTTTAGAGAAAGATTGTTTAAAGATTAGAATGTTCAATCTTCCATCTTCAAAAGGAAGATTAAACAGTTTAATCTTCCTCTTGAAGTTAAATCTTCAATCACCAAGTGATAATCTTAAGGAGGAAGATTGTTTAAAGATTAAAATGTCAAATCTTCCATCTTCAAGAGGAAGATTAAACAGTTTAATCTTCCTCTTGAAGATGTTCACTCTGTGATTGAAACATGTGTCGAAGTGTTAAAAATAACGGTTTGGTGTTGAGATAAAACTCCAGTGATATTCATTGACTCGCATTAATAGTTGATAAACTTTTTTAATTTGAACATTCAAAATTGTTTTTTCTTCCGAGTTCCGATCAAAGTTTTCAATACTTTCTAGGAAAAGCACTTATTAATGTATTACGTACCTGCCTACCTGATTAAATCAGGAATACCTGAGTTATTTCCAATTTTTACTGGAAAAGAAGATGACGTCATGATTTTATCCGATCTAATAGTGCTTCACTCATAGTCTTCAATCAAGTACTTCATTATCTGAAGAATATGAATTGATAATAAAGTCCTTGAGTCTTAATAACTGATGCTATCAGTAAATTAAACTTGGTGTATGAATTAGAATTAACGAAAAGATTATTATTCTTAATTTTTATGACGGTCTCATGCACCACTCTGGTGATAGGTAGGAAGAACTTATGAAAAACTTTAAAGGAATTAAATTTTAGTTGGGAAAAACATAACAGAAAATCGCTCTTAATAGAAAATGAGATTATTTATTGGAGGAGACATATCCTAAGGCAGATAAAAGAATTTCGGCGTGAGGATGGGAAGATTCATTATCTGGATGAAACTTGGCTTAACGTAGGATATCGTTGGGAATATGTGGCAAGACAAAAATATTAAAAGTTCATGCTGAGCATTTTTAGAAGTCTGGTCTAGTGGAAAAGAAAAGCGACTGATTATTACCCACATTGGAGTATTGATGGTGTCATTGAGGGAGGTGTATTGATGTTTGAGTCAAAACGTGTGTTTGAAGATTATTTCGAGCAAATGTTAGAACTCATTCCACCTGAATCTGTGATTGTGATGAATAATGCAAAATATCATTCCAGAAAAGTTGAAAGAATACCAACTGATGCATGGTAAAAAGCGTTTCACGGAATATGTAGTCGGCAAGATAACACAGAGACGCAATATTATTATTATTCTGCGTCTGCCCCCTCATCATTACGAACTTAATCCCATTGAAGTCGTTTGGACTGAAGTAAAGGATTTCGTTGCAAGAAGAAACACGATATTTGATAAAAGTTGTCAAAATACTCTTTAAGGAGTCCTTAAAAATTATTGATTCCCAAAAATGGCGAAAATTTATTGAATGTGTTATAAAAGACCATTCATTAGACCATCCAGTTGAGAAAATTGTAGGTTCTCAGTTAATATCTCCGATGCTTGCTCAGGATGTATAAACCTCTGAGGAAGTCTTGGCCTTCAAACCCGAAAAATAGTGACACTGAAAACCTTGGCTGCAAAAGTTTTAACCAATGGGCCAACATAAACTGAATGTATTGTTCAAGTAAACGATATAGTGCAACCTACCTTCCAACAGCTTCCCTTTAATAATATAGTTAGGGAGGTAACTAATTTCGTTATTCAATAATCGTTTATGATTGTTGATGTTGTAAAATTCTGATCAGCCTAGATGTGATTACACTTTTCAGCAATATAACTATGAATATAGTGGAGAAAAGTATCATCAAAAAATGGAAAGATATAAATAAAAAATGTTCAATAACCCAAAAAAAAATATTGAAATGATTGATTCCATCTTCAACTCAAGTTATTTCTCTTTCGAAGGTAAATACTATAAACAAATTCTTGGTACTTCAATGGAAGCTACTATTTCTCTTATCATAGCTCAATACGTAATGGACGATCTTTTTGAAAACATACTTCCCAAATTGAGTTTTGAAATTCCCTTTTTAAAGAAATATGTTGACGATGTCATCTGTGCAATACCTTATGACAAATCTAATGAAATTCTTGATGTTGTCAATAGATATGATAAGAAGTTACAATTCACTATCGAAATAGAAAATAATCAGACCCTTCCTTTTCTTGATACAAGAGTTATTCGTAAAACTGATAATTCCTTGATTACAGATTGGTATGTCAAACCTACTAANAGTACTCTTTGATCATTCCCATACTGATTTCAATTTAAGAGCCACCGGTAGACAGCTGTTTCAGCCAATTGGGCATCGTCAGTACCGGGCAGGCGGTCCTCGATTGAAGACAAAGTGAGAAAAAACCAAGAAAGTACTTGAGAAAAATAGCTGCGTAAACGCAAGCGAAAAATAAGTGGAACCACCTATTGGTGTGACACCCGAGTCAACTTGCCAAGTTTTTTATGTCAGTGTTGGTGGTTTGACCAATCAACCGACAACTGCGGTGGCAGAAATTTGGGAAGCTAACCAGAAATGCCATAAAAACTTGACAAGTTGACATAGGTCTCACACCATTTATTCCAAATGGAATAACGAGACAAGTTGGATTTTTGCTTTTTCCCAATCCAAATGGAATGATGAGACAAGTGTGCTGTCGTCAGCAAAGCAATATATTGGATTCTTGGCTTTTTCCAATAAGTCGTTGATATACAATAAAAATAGGGTTGGAGACAATATGGATCCCTGGGGAACACCAGCGTTGATGGTGAAAGTATTCGAGAGATATCCATCGACGGCCACTTGCAGGGAAGCTGGAGATCCATACACAAAAATAATTCGACAAGTCATAGCATCGAAGTTTGGCCAGCAAACCCTCATGCGATTGCGTTATTTCAAATACATACGATAGAAGGTCGCGTGTTGATATATGTTTCGGAAAACTATATTGATGAACGCTCAAAAAGTTGAAGCCTGTGGCAGACATCATCATTGGTAATGGTACAGCAACAACTAATCAGTCGTTCATTCTCTTTGGTAAACTAGCTCAGTGATCAGTAAAAGCTTGTTTTTAAAACAAACTTTTATTGTTCCACTTTAAATGTGAACCAAGATCACCTGCTAATATCTGTTATTATTTCAGGTTATTCATTGTTTCCTTCATCATTCCGAAGACATGGCTATTATATTTAGTGAGCACCATCATTGGTATAGGTGCAGCTATGATCTGGACGGGGCAGGGTAATTACCTTACCCTTAACTCTACCAAACGACACATTTCGAGAAATTCTGGAGTCTTCTGGGCCATGCTTCAACTGAGGTAATAATTTCAATTTCCATTTCATGATATGAATGCTAGAGAGGAATTCTTTCTGTCAGCAAAAGATAACTTCTCGAATAAGTCTAAGATGAGTACGAGTGTTGTTCATATAATACCGATTTTCTTTAGGAAGGTAGATTATCGTTTGAGAAACGTGACTTGAGATTCAAAAACACAAAACGTTGAGAAGTTTCGTTGGTAGATAGTTCAATGATCTCGAAGACAGGAGGGTGGGGAAAGCGAGCGGTTCTGTCGTTGTGGATAGGTGTCTGTGACCGAAAATCAGTTGTATACCGAATCATTTCTTCGTCCGGTTCAGCGCTTTACTGACTTAAGATTTTCAAAATCGGCAATATAATATTTGCAGCAGGTCACTGAAATTAGGCTTTCCAAATTTTGTTTAGATTAATATTATCAAACACTCTGCAGAAAAAACTGTGAACTGAGTATTCTCAACATATAACGGATCTTCCAACAGGGGTCTTCCAACAATCGAACTTTGACAATTGATAACGGCCATCTTGTTGAAGCTACATCTGTCAAATTAGTTGTATTGCCAAATTACCATGGACGACTATAGCAACAACACATGAAAATAGTAAAATTGTTTCAAAAAAAATTGTGTTTTGTTTGGGCAACGAACCGCGCGCTTCAACGGTTTTACGGTCGTCATAATCGTTCTACCGCAATGTGATGGATACATTTGAGTGCACTGGTAAACGATTGACCAAAACCCGTACGTCGACGAAACGCAAGATCTGCCTGAACATCGCCGCTGTCTGTGAGAGTGTGCAGGAGAATCCGAGGCAGTCGTTTTAGCGTCGCTCACAAGAACTCGGCCTTTCGAAGACCACAACTTGGCGAATTTTACGTCATGACTTGGGCCTGTACCCGCACAAAGTTCAACTGATCCATGAAATGAAGGCCTTGGAAATATCAAGCGCAACAGCTCTCGATTGCGTTATTCCAAATATGGGAGACATACGATAGAAGGCTATCACTGTGAAGTTATTTCTGGCCAAAAATTCAACAGACCTTATCGAATAGCCAACGTATTCACATGATGTGGCTCCGGTTGACATTTTTCATTTTCCAGAACTCAAATTACCACTTCGATATGATTGGGTTGTTCAATGGGAGGAGCCTACTTTGAAGTACATTAACCACTTCCCGGTATACAGGGCTTTTCATGATGAGCGTTAATTAGCCGTTTCTGGCAAACTATTCAACGGATCAACCTGAAAATCCCACATTTTGCATAAGTCAATATGACCTACACGCCTAAAATATTTTAGACGAAGCGGCGTTGTCGCTTCTACTATAAAGTAGCGGCTTCTTTGATTTTTCAAAAAGGTTGCGTTAATGGCCATGTTACGATTGCGCACGGCTGGTGTAAACCTCGAAGTAGAAATGGGTCAATTGAGGCTGAGCCTATGGTGAGAAGCGCTCACTGCGCAACCTCTGCTGCAGGCAACCAGTGATGCAATTGAACCCAGGTTTGTGTTTAATAAACCCTACAAAATACAAATAAAACAGAACACGAAGTCAAATATTACAAATGCAATACACATATATACAGACGGCTCAAAAACCAAAGAAGGCTCAGGATGTGAAGTGTACTCCGGAACACAAGCCTAAGGATTAAGTGGGGAATGGAAAAAATACCAGCGTGGTTCAAACATAACTTGTTGGTATCTCAATTGCCACAAAAACAATAACAATCTGCACTGATAGCAGCGAAGCACTATTAGCCTGTGCACCTGAGGTGCACCTCAGTGCACCTCAGGGCTGGTAATAGAGTGCCAACAAAATTTAGCCAAAGCCTCGGTAGATAATAACATCATCCTGAGGTGGATTGAAGGGCACGACAGGAGTAAAGGTAATCGTATTGCCGAGTCATTTGCCAAGGAAGCGGCAAGAATTTTAGGAAACAGTGGCACATACGGCCTGATGACTTCGACAATTGCGGAGCTAGCCGAACGTTACACCTATGCTCAATCCCTAAAGAGATGGAATGGAATCAAAGGATGCAATCTTGTCAGGATAACCCTGGACGACCCTGGGAAGCTGTCGCCGAAGAAATATCTGGCGATGATCAGAAAAAATCTACGCTTAACAGTAAGATTTTTGACTGGCCACTGTCAACTATGTGTGAACAGGAAGATGAAACTGTCAGGCATATCCTATGCGAGTGCCCGGAGTAATCGTCAAAAATACACTGTGTTTTCGGCGAGTCTTGGCCTACACCTGCCGATATAAAGAAGATGTCTCCTAGTGACCTTTCCACCTTCCTGGAAAAGACAGGATGGACGATGACCTCCTCGAGAGGATGTACAATGGGTCACTTGTGGCCTAAGTGCTGTGAGTCTACTCTCACCCTCCCTACTCTACAGATACAGATCCTATTGGAATTATAAAATCCGCTAGACATTTTATCAAGCCCTTGGCAAAACAAACCAAGTGCTTGAAAGACAATATTGAAAAAACTTCCCCGAAACACAAAGAAAAAACCTTATGGCAATGTGCGTACAAACTTTCAAAGATCTTGGCGACACTACCTGTTTCCACATGTACCCTTGAAAGGACTTTTTCTTCTCTGAAACGCCTCAAAACTTATTTAAAAAAACTCCACAAGCCAGGAACTACTGAACGGTTTGGCGTTAATGTCAATCCACCGTAGAATTGACATCGACACCGAGGAAGTAATTGATTTGTTTGCTGCAAAGAAAGCTAGAAAACTTAATATAATTTTGTACAAAGATGTTAATATTTCTGTGATGGTTTCCTAATGAATATATATTTTCATGTAACACAATTTTCTCTCTTTCGTTATTTTTATATTTCATGTTTTTCTACTGTTCCACCAAACCAAACTAATTGGCTTCTGGGTTTAATTGGTCGAGTGTGAATAGGTGTGAGCCACAATAAACCTTTGCGAGTTGCGGTGGAGGGTCGAATAGACCCACTCAATTTGGACCTAACCTAACCTAACCATTTGGACGAGTTACAGAGATGAAAGCATCGCTGCGAGAGGTGTTTAGAGTTAAAAGGAGACTATGATGAAAAATTAAGGAAATCTGAAAAAATGTCATGCATCTTCGTTAGGTCAGAAACTTTTCTGGCGTCCCTCGTACATCAGGCTCATTGACACCGAGTTTTTGAGTGCTTCGTCGACTGTTTCGTCGGAATCATTGGCTGGTATTCAGAATCTTTTTCTAAATTTAGGTTTATTTTACCACCTTTATATTTTTTATATTTCGATTTATCATTTCAGAAAACAATTCTGTCGAGTATCACGAGTGAAGATCCAACCTTTACCGGAAATGCATACTACAGCTTAGCCATTATCTACGTAGTTTTTTCCATATTCAACTGGGCCGCTCCATCTGTAATAAGTGTCATAGGACCGAAATTTTCTATGGTTTTGGGGGGATGTGCTTACCTGTAAGTATCCATTGTATTGTCTATCTCCTTAAGCAGCGAAATAATGAATAATTTTCAAGTTGTTGTTCCATAGGCGTACATAATTGAGTCGGTCGAAAAGTGAAAATGTAGTATTTTTTTTGAAACATTCAATGTTGTTGTATAATTTGAAATAACAAATCTCAAAAGTTGTATTATAGTAACATAAATATGGACACTTGCATTAATATTTGTGATGCAGTGTTTGGAATCTTTGGTGTAGTAATGAATATTACTGGAGTTTTATCTCAACACTATACCGTTATTTTCAACACCTCTATACGTGTTTCATTCACCAAGTGATCATCTTCAAGAGGAATATTGAACTGTTCAATTTTCCATTTTCGAAGAAGAAGATTAAACTGTTTAAATATTCCTCTTGAAGATGATCACATGTTGATTGAACTGTTTAATCTTCCACTTGAAGTTTAATCTTCAATCAACAAGTAATAATCTTCAAGAGGAAGATTAAACTGTTCAATCTTCAATCATCAAGGAAGAAGATTGAACTGTTTAATCTTCCATCTTCAAGAGGAAGAATAAACTGTTTAATCTTCCTCTTGAAGTAAAATCTCCAATCACCAAGTGATCATCTTCAAGAGGAAGATTGTTTAATTTTCCTCTTGAAGATGATCACATGGTGATTGGAGATTGAACTATTTAATCTTCCTCTTGAAGATGATCACGTGGTGATTGAAGATTAAACTGTTTATTCTTCCTCTTGAAGTTTAATCTGCAATCACCAAGTAATAATATTAAAGAGGAAGATTAAACTGTTTAATCTTCAATCTTCAAGGAAGAAGATTATAATGTTTAATCTTCTATCTTCAAGAGTAAGATTGAACTGTTTAATCTTCCTCTTGAAGTTTAATCTTCCATCACCAAGGGATCATCTTCAAGAGAAAGAATAAAATGATTTGGAAAAGCTGAATACACTTATTTGAATTAATGAATCGAAGAGGTTTTGTATTAAAGTGTATAATATTTTAATACAAAACCTCTTCGATTCATTAAAGAATAAAATGTTTGATCTTCAATCATCAAGGAAGAAGATTAAACTGTTCAATCTTCCATCTTCAAGAGGAAGAATGAAATGTTTAATCTTTCTCTTGAAGTTGAATCTTCAATAACCGAGTGATCATCTTCAGGAGAAAGATTGAGAAATTAAATCTTCCATCTTTTAGAGAAAGATTGATTAAAGATTAGAATGTTCAATCTTCCATCTTCAAAAGGAAGATTAAACAGGTTAATCTTCCTCTTGAAGTTAAATCTTCAATCACCAAGTGATCATCTTCAGGAGGAAGATTAAACAGTTTACTCATCCATATTTTAAAGGAAGATTGTTTAAAGATTAAAATGTCAAGTCTTCCATCTTCAAGAGGAAGATTAAACAGTTTAATCTTCCTCTTGAAGATGTTCACTCTGTGATTGAAACATGTGTCGAAGTGTTAAAAATAACGGTTTGGTGTTGAGATAAAACTCCAGTGATATTCATTGACTCGCATTAATAGTTGATGAACTTTTTTAATTT